AAATATGACCTCTATTTTGATTCCATTTTAGGGTTTTTATTTTTATTTTTTTATTTTTTGGTTAAAGTTCTTTTTGTAGGGGGATATAAAATGTATGTTGTCCAGGTAAGTATGTATGTATAAATGTATGAGGGATTAAATTTGTTGTTTTAATATTTTCATGTTGAAGTTTCTTTTTTTATTTTGTTTGGTTTGGTTTTTGAAGACAGGGTCTCTCTGTGTAACCCTGGCTGTCCTGGAACTCACACCATAGACCATACTGGCTTCAAACTCACAGAGATCCACCTGCCTCTGCCTCCCTGAGTGCTGGGATTAAAGGCATGCACCACATCCCCTGGCTCACACTGTAGTTTTAGTCCTCAGTATCTTAGGTTGGGATTGCTTTTAAAAGGGGGCGAATCAGGTTAAAATGGCATGGTGAAGATGAGTCTTACTCCAGTCTAAGTGACAGTTTTTGAAATGGATACACTGAGACACACTAGGGAAAACAAGAGGAGAGAACCTGGCACTAAGGGAAGAAGGGAAGAAGCCTTTGGAAAAGCCAATCTTGCTGGCACTTTGGCTTACCCTTCCAGCCTTCAGAACTGGAAGAAAACAATTATTGAATCCACTAAAATGGCATTACCCAGCTATGCTAACCCTAACCAAATAGTAACAACAGGTATAGAAGAATATACAAATGTTCTTTGATAAAACATGTAATAAAAATTTGCGGACTACTGATTAATTCACCATGTTGTACACTGTTTCCTCATCAGTACATAAATGGAACTTACAACTAAAGACTTACATCCTATTTACCCTGTGGTTATAAATTTGAACCACTAATGAAAGGAAATTCATTTCTCCTTTCCTACTTTTCTTGTTTGGTTTCTTGTTTCCGGAAAGGAATAAGTATCCTCACTTCTGTTTCTACAAGACAAAAAGATCATCACCATTTTCATTACCTCTGCCATATTTTAAGACCTGCGTTATCTGAATTGATTCTCTGGGTCAGATGACACATATTTCTCAATAAATGAGCATCAGCAGAACGTCACTTATAAAGTATCCTCTATTCAGACAAAAGCAGGTATTAAAAGCCAGGGGTAATAAGACCAATAAGCTACAGCTGTATTTATATAAGCAGTTTCAACTTTTGAAAACTTTTAGCCAGAAGCATGGATTTCTTCACTTAGGGTGGGAGAAAGTGAATACTCTGGGAATGATGGCATAACACACTGACCATCAAATAACTTCAGAAGAGATTTAGTTACGGGGTGTGGTGTGGTGTGCATTGACAGCACAAAGGCCCTCATAAGCAAAGAGGGCTTCAGAGCTACTGGAACTGGAGTTACAGCCATGTATGAGCAGCCTGATGTGGATATTGAGAATGGAACACAGGTGTTATGCAAAAACAGCACATGCTTTTACCCTGTTAGTCATCTCTCCAGATCCCAAAATATTTCCAGCTAGAGAACATTTTATAAAATAAAATGTCTAATGGTGTTTTCTTGAAAGACCCTAACCCTTCAGGCTTACACCCCCATGCCCCAGGAAATAAGGAGCTAAAAAGAAAACTAGTTCCAAGGGCCACCTGACTCAGCCATTGTTTAACTTGTAACAATGTAACAATGTAAAAAGATTTCTGTTAAGAGATGTGCTCAACTGTGACTGGGGTAGTTGCAAGTGTTCCAGGAAGGATCACTGTGACCTTTGTGTAAACTCCACTCCTGCCCTGATACCCCTCCCCCCCCCCTTGAGGTTTCAGGAAGAATGTACATGTGGACGTGACTGTACCCACTCTGTGATCAGACCATGATCTTGTGAAATGAAATTGTATGGGAATTGTAATCTTATGGCTTTTGTGGGTTTTTCCTTTAAAAGCCTGCAGTAAGATTCGGCTCTTGCTCTTAGGAGCAGAGTTTGCCCGTCTGTACAGTCGCTTCAATAAAAACCTCGTGCTGTTGTATCAACTGGACTGGAGTCTGGGTTCTTGGGGCGCCCCCTCGAGAAGGTAGTATCCTGGGTCTGGGGTCTATCATTCTATAGGTGAACTTTCCTAGACCATTAAGAGTTTTAGTAAATTCTAAACATTAACTAAAATAGTGTTTAATTTTCAGCTTGAAGAAAACATGGCATGGGGCTGGAGAGGCAGCAGCAGCAGCAGCTTGGCAATTAAGAGCACTGGTTGCTCATCTAGAGTTCCTGGATTTGCAGCCCAGTGCTCACATGGCAGCTCATCACTATCTATAACTCCAGTTCCAAGGGATTCAACACCTTCTTCTGGCCTCTGTGTACCAGTCACACATGCACACATACATTATGCAGGAAAAACACCCAGAGAAATAAAAAAAAAGGTCAGCCAGGTGGGGGTAGCACACGCCTTGAATCCCAGCACTCAGGCGGTGGAGCTCTGGGAGTTTGAAACCAGCCTGGTCTACAGCATGAATGAGTTCCAGGACAGCCAGGACTACATAGAGAAATCCAGTCTTGAAAAAAGCCAAAACCAAACCAAACCAAAACAGAACAAAAAAACCTCTTAAAGTTCAAAAAAGAGAACAGCACTTAAAATAATAAAAATTATAAGTTTGCTTCCCTCAAACAGTTGAAAATTGAGGAAAATATCTAAAGATGATCTCTTGAAATTTCAGCTGGCACTCTGTACAGTTCCACACCCCACATTCATTACATACAATGTCTTCTATGTAGTGCATACATATGGACTGTCCAGTAAGAGCACATGGAATTTTCTTTTTTGTGTGGTTTTTCGAGACAGGGTTTCTCTGTGTAGTTTTGGTACCTGTCCTGGATCTCACTCTATAGACCAGGCCAGCCTCAAACCCACAGAGATCTGCCTGGCTCTGCCTCCCAAGTGCTAGGATTAAAGGTGTGCACCACCGCTGCCCGGCTGGAATTTTCTTGTAAATAAGTTAAAATATATCTTTTGGGCAGTAGGGTTAACAAAACACTGGGGGCAGTAGCGCGCGCGCGCACACACACACACACACACACACACACACACACAAATCACCATGTTGTTTCTCACATCTTTAAGTAGTTTTCATATTAAAAAAAAAGAAAAACTAATCCACTAACTCTTTCCACAGTAATAATGCAAAAAATATTAATTAGCTAAAGATAATGATGTAAAACCAGAAAAGGAAGAGAAAAATGGTATACTGGTGTAAATTATTTTTTTATTGTGATAAATTATAAGTCATGATGAGTAAGAATGAAAATGTATAATATAACAAAATAAGCATCGAAGTGTTAAAATCTGATAGGATTTAGAAAACATCTTTTAAAAGGTTTTTACATGGCTTTAAGAAAACATATAGTATTATAGAAAACATCGATTCCAGTTTATGTTACATTCAATTTCAAAATTGTTTTTATGAAATAGTCGGTAATTACTGTTCTCTACAGTAAACACTGGTAGGAAGCAAGAATTTTTTTTAAAAAATCTTTATTCTCAAACCAGATGAATGTTAAGAGATAGCAAAAGTGTGAGTTTAGTTTTAAAAGGGAATTTAAATATTACAAAGTGAACCAGAAAGATGAGCACATTTTCCTCTAAACTCCAGTTCAGAATTTGCATCCTGTGTTCTTGTGAGTCTCCTCATATCTGAGCCACCTACCAATTCTGCATATGGGTTTTGCATAGAAATTAAAATGCTTCTTCCTCAGTGTGCAAGGTAGGTACCATGCACAAACTCATAGAAACTCTACCAATGCTGACTAGAATAATGTGACCTAACTGATTCAGGTCCGGTGAGCTAAAATGGGAACAATGCATTATAAACATTTAAAAGACAATCATTTCAACCCACCTTAGATGGACTTACATTCAGAAACTAGTATGTCTATTGTCAGTATAAGGTACCAGTCTTAACAAGGTGATAGGAGAATTTTTCCTTTTTATCTTCACTTTGACTTAAAGGCATGCTTTCAGTTGGCCATTACAATATGAATCCATTACTAAATATATCTCTAGAAGCTTTGGTAAGGGACAGATGAACAAAGAGCCTCATAGATGGCACTCATGAGCAAAACCAGTGCTAACATTTTAAATTAAGATGTCATGTTGTAATCAGCTCTTTATAAAAGGATTTGAGGCAACATTTTCATTCGAATGGCTGTGTTTTACTGTAAAACTGAACTCTCCAGACCTACAGGAGCCCTCGCAGTCTTCTTACCTTTAAGTTCCCAGCATGGAGAATGAAACAACCCGAATAGCCAATGGAGCGCCTACAGATAGAAGGCATGACAGAGGGCACCTGAGCTCTCAAAGTGTCCCATCCTTGAGGTGGGTCTTTTAGGGCTTTGAGTAATGTCTCACAGGACACATTCTTACTAATTTAAACAACCTTAGGATGTTTTTTAAAAAGTATTTCACATACCTTAACATTTATGGAGAGCATCACCAATGAAAGCAATCAGTGACAAGGGAACTGAATTCTCTCCTCAGGTACAACTTTCAAATCATGTAACTGGATAGAATAAAGATCTGAGAACTTGCTTTTTAAAATAGCAACTACTTTAAAAAAAATAGCAACTATTTTAAAATTACGTCAAAAAAGGGTGTACATTTTAAAAACAATGTTATCCCAAACATACCTCAAGCCATTTAAACACATCCTGCTTGTACACTTCATGTCTGTCAAGTAACAATGTTCCATCCAGACAGATTGAAGCAAGCATGTGTAGAAAAGTGCACAATCAATACAATAGCAAACTCAAACAAAAGCTTTAGAAAAAATATAAAAATAGTTAAAATTTAGGTTATAAATGCCCAGGAATACCCTTTTCATGTACGTGTACTTTATAAAACATGTTTAATGCATAGAAATACAGACTATTAAAAAAATCAGGTACGTAGAGTCCACTGGCTCCATTTCTGAGGAGGTTTTCCTTCGGGAGAATGTCCAAGAGTAGGCACGTGTAAACCAAAGAATCAACACTACATCTTGCTAACTTGGCCAAACGCTCTTGTCAGCTACTGGTCATTTTGTTTCCTTTCTGCTTTACCCACAGAATGTGGAGAAGTGAATGTTCAGGTCAAGTTCTTGGGTATTCTTTCCTCCCTGATATTATAGTTGTCTTGCCCCAGTCATCAGTGTTAGGGCTTTCCTGCTTCGGGAAAGGTCTGCTATTAAAAAGACCAACCCGTCTGTCTTGGTTATGAGATCATGTCCGGAGCATCACCATTAGGTCTCTGCCGCACAGCCAGGGGAGGCAGTGGCTTCCCATAGAAATCTGCACAAAGGGAAATGGAAAACATGAAACAGTATGGTAATCAAGTCTTACACAGCTAATTGTTTTCCAGCCAACATCCTTAAAAGATTAAGACGCAGACAATTCTCAAGTGAGTGGATAGGGGGAAGACAGAAAACAGAAACAAATATAATCCAAAAAAAAAATTGAATGAATTCAAAAAATAACAACCTGGGTAAATTCTAAATGACTGGTAAAATGTTGTACCTAACAGACATACTTAAAGTTTTTTTTTTTTTTAATTACACATTCACATTAGAAAACAAATACAAAATACTGTGAATTGACACCATCTGCTACTAAGACCCTGGTCAGTCACCATTTGTATACACCATGTTGCTTTCTAATGATGTCTAGGTATTTTAGAAGAAGCAGATTAACTTCCTTTACCTAATCCTACTACAATTCTGTGGTTTGGTGATGACTGTACAAAATGGTCTTTCTTTCTGAGTATGTGAATTATACTGAGAATTGAATCCAGAACCTTGTGCATGCTAGGTAAGCACTCTGTTACTGAGCCATATTCCCAGGCCCCCAACCTTTCCATTTATAATACAACTATATTCTCTGTTTGTTTGCTTGTTTTTTCGAGACAGGGTTTCACTGTGTAGCCCCGGCTGTGTACTACCACTGCCCAGCTCATTGATACTCTTTTTAAAAATACTGCATTTCCTTATTCTGATGTTTGTGTATAACAATCTGTGTGAGTTGCTTCTCTCTTTCAACTGTTAGTCTTGGGGTTCAAATTCAGGTCTTTAGGCTTGGCAGCATAAAGTACCTCTACCAGCAAGGCTGACTCACTGGCTCAAATTTCATTTCCTACTTTGCCACAAATTAGATTATAAACCTAATGCCACATTTAAGTCATTATAAATTATTTCCTAGCATATTACCTTAAAATTATTTTAGAAGCACAGATATTCAAAAGCACTTAAAATAAATACACTGGTAATGTACGAGGGGAAATATTTTCAAAGCAACTGCAAATCAAAAATTAAACTGCCGAGATGTCTTAACAAATATTAATGGCATAGTATAAACATAAAAACTTACAGTATGGATTTCAAAACCAGGCAGACGTAAGTTCAAATCTTGATTCTGCAGCTTAGCGGCATGAAAGCTCTTGCCTAAGGTAGTTTGCTGCCAATATTATAAAGCAATTTGGAAGAGCTAAAATTGCCAAGCACAATGGTAGGTACCTATTGCTTGCTATTATTGTTATGATAAAAATGATAAGATATATCCAATTATTTTGATGAATTTAAAACTATTTTTATTAAAAGACCAAATGCATGTATGTAAAATTTGTCTTCCAAGAAATTAGTATACTTTTGTAGTGGGTTCTGTATCACTTCCTTATGGGAAACTGAACCATTCTATAAGATACAGTATTTTAATTCCTAAACATTTTTATAGTGATTATTGAACATTTTGAAGATGAAATTTGAAGAGCAGTAAAAGTATACAAACATATTTAACTTTCTTTTTAACTTGTAAGCCTTGACAACATCCTTTAATTTGTATAGCTGGTATTTTTGACTACCAGAAACTTTGATTATTTTTCATAATGTTCAATATATAGCACACTAAAGAAGTACAGACTGAGAGTGTTCACAAAATAAATACAGATTCTCATTTTATGTCTTTTTGATGTTTCTGTCCTACCCATTACACAGAGAAAGCTTTGTAGGCAATAAAAGTGATTATAGAAGCAAGCTGTTACTAAAGCCAATGCCTATAATCAAAGTAAGAATCTCCCTTAAGCTGCTTTCAACCTGATGATGGCAATTTTTGTCTAAGTCAGTAAAGTATAAATCACAAACCACATACAGCTGGTTTCTAATTATCCATTAGCCCATTATATATCTATTGCATATTTGTCATTAGACTTTTGTCCATATATATTTATATATAATGGGAAAGAAGTGTTCAAAATTAAGAAAAAGAAGAGGGTCTGGGGAGATGGCTCTGAGGTTAAGAGCACTGGATGATCTTCCAGAAGACCAGGGTTCAATTCCCAGCAACCATAAGATGGCTCACATACATCACACTCCCGTTCCAGGGAACGGGATGCCCTCTTCTGGCCTCTGTAGGTACCAGGCACACCAATGGCACACAGATTCATGTGGGCAAAACACTCATATACATTAAGTACTTTTTAAAATTATTTTCTTAAATATTAAATAGAGTAACATTATGTCCATGCATTAAATGAACATTAGCTCTTGAAAAATTACTAATAGTAAACCTTTATACTTTAATATATAAGGCCTTCACCATTTAGCCCAAGTCCAGAATTCCATTTTCTATAATTTAAAATTCCTCTTTTAACCACTATGTAACTCCATGCCTTCAGACAAACTATTGTTCTTTTCTTTGTTTTGGTTGTTGTTTGGTTTTTCTTTTTCAGTCAGCCTCTCCTATAGCTGAGGCTGGCCTGGAACTCCCAACCCTCTTGCCTCAGCCTTCAGTGGTGCTAGGATTACAGGTATACTTACTTTTGGATCCTGTTTATCCTGGATTTTCTTATTTGAACCTCTACTTCTTATGCCCCTCTCTATAAATGCCCATGTGGTTTCTGAACAGTACTCCAATTCTCCACTGAAGAACTTACTGCCATAGATATTACAGTAATTTAGAGGACTATTTTTTTCTATTAAATCAGTGCGTGTCGTATCTTGATATAACAAACATTTAGCTGGTCTCAAATAAAAAATACGCACTGGTATTGTCTGAGTCTGACGTGATTCCCCTCCCCCTTCCCAGCTCGTGTTTTAGCACATTAGTCCCGAACTGGTGGTGCTGCCGTTTTGAAGGCCGTGGAAACTACAGAAAATTAGCAACAGAGCAATGGAGTCCTTGCTGCAATGAATATTATTCTGTAGTTCCTAGACTTTTACAGCTGGTTTTCAGGATGCATACAGAAGAGTTTAGAGTTATGGGCTAGAGAAGCCCTAGAAGGGCTACCCATAAAGATCAACAGAAATTCTGCTAGACATCTGGAAGATCAAGTTAACAAACACTGATGCATGCAGTGATGACCATGTGCATGAGGGTTCAGAGAGGAACAAGGACTCTACTGGTTGGATAAGAGGCCATTACACAAAGAATCTGGCCACATCCGAGTCATCCTGAATTCAAAATTAATAGATTATTTTCTTTGGTGTTTAACATTTAGACTGTGGCCTGGTTACTGTTAGATGCTTTCAGCCAGTCTATACTGAGAACAGAGAGCAAAGGCTGGAACAGAAAGATGGAAGCAGTTTGTCCTGGAAAAGGGAAAGAGCACATTGAACACAAAGAAAGTGCAGACACTGTCGGCCTGGCTACTGAAGGGATTAGGACCAGGGAAGAGAAGCTACACACTTCATACACTGCACTACAACAGAAAAGGTCAATTGGAGGCTACAGCTCTAGAGAAGGTCCTAGAATGTAAAAGTACAAACTTACTTGAAAGACTTTCCTTTACATAGAGAGAGCAGAAAAGGTGACCTACTAGGAAAAGGCCACCTAGAGAAAGATTCTGTAGCCATGGGGAGATGCTCAGAGTGCTGCAGCCATAGCCAATGAGAGTTTAGCTCTACCTTCAGCTGGCAGCAGAACTTGTCACTGACCATGTGGTGATGGTTTTGCAGGCATACAGAATGCAAGAGTTACAGAATCGTGGAAGAGTTGCAGAGAACAGCCTAAGGCCAGGGCATGTTTAGCAACAGCAGATTCTCTGACAGTGTGAACCATGAAGCTGTGAAGGTAAAGCCTAGGCTGCTACCCTGGGATCACCACAACATGGGATGTCTGTCTAAAAAAGAGCAGGCCCTGGGGAGCTACCTCAAGAGAAAGGCCATATGTGCTGCAAATGACAAAGCCACGGGTGAAGGACAGAACAGGACTACTGAAGCTGATGTGATAACACAACTGGTCCTCTATGCCGTACATGTAATGGCAGGACTTAATATTTGCCTTCCTGGGCTTCAGTCTTGCTCCATATCCATCCTTGCTATTCTGTTCCTCCCTTCTGAGAAGGTAATGTTTATTCTGTGCCATTTTATACTGGAAATATGTAACTTCCTTTTTTATTTTAGAGGGCTCACAACTAAGAGACTATCTTACATTTCAGGGTCCAGAAGTAGCAGGTTATGTTTTGATTCTCAACTGTTCCTCCACATGTATGGGAGGCTAGGGGCATTGTTTTAGCACTACCAGGAGATGGAGCAGGTCACTAGGGGCAGCTTCTGAAGGCCACACCTGCTCTAGATGGAGCCCTCGAGGCTTTCTGTATGCTGGCATGACCTCAAGTTGCCACTGCAAGCTCTCTCTGCTCTTGTGAGAAACTATTTTTCTTTCTGTGTATGCATATATGTACATATAAATGGACAGGCTCTAACACTATTTTCTAACACTGAATATTTAAATTGATAATGTATTCTAATATGAATAAAGTCAGGTTATATAATAATACAGGACTTAACCTATTATTATTGATAAAAATATTACAGTGTACAAATCAGTAAATATAATAGAAATATGTAATTCTACTGAAACTATCCTATCAGGAAGTCTAACAGTAAATTCATCTATCTATAAATATAAATTTTCTAATTTTCACTAATGATTAAGTAGAAACCATTAGGAACCTGTACAGTATTTTGAAAACAAAAGCAAGAAGTAGGCTTGACTAGCTTTCAAATAGTATGTTTCAATTTCACAAATGTAGAGTTTATGGTAATGCTTTTTCTAAAGATTCAATGTCTTTTTCTATAAAGTGATCCTTTTAGGAAACATAGTTCTATTACGTTAGTACAGAAAGTGTATTGGATGCTCTTAAATGAGTGAGGAGATGAAGTTACAATTAAACTTTTCCTTTGCATTCTAAGTTCAATGTGAAAACCTAGACATCTGGTCAGGAATGACTTTTGCCTGTGAGTCCTAACTATCTTTTCCTAGGCTCTATTTCTTGAAGTTCTAGGGCAGTGCACTGGCCGGATTACAACTATGACCATTTCATCAAGGGAAATTGTTTCTTGACTCAATAAAGCCTTCAACAACTTTCTGTATTTGGCTTACTAATCTGATCTCTCATTCTATACATTGTGTTGATCTTGATTTCACTTTAATGTTTAGCAGCTGAAAATCTTACAAGTAGAGAGAGCAATTACATTCATGATCACACAGTGCATGAACACAGGCTGGGCATGGCAGTTTTCCAGCACAGTAAATAAAACCACAGTGGCTCAGACTTCAGTTGCTGGGAAGCTTTTTCCATCTCATAATTGTTTCTGTAAGGTTTATCATGAATAAACACAAGAATGAGTCTTCATGTATTTGTATTAAGATTAAAAAAATCAAATTATATAATTGTAAGATGCATTCAAAAATTAAAAAAAAAAGGAGTAAAATGAAAGTTAAAAGTGTAACGAAAAAGATGGTAGTGGATCTGAAAGCTACCAAAAATGAAATACTGAAAATGTGAAGTTATAGGATAAAGAAAAGTGGCTGTATATGCACAGATGATATTGAAAACTGATCCTTTTGCATTACCATTATGACGTGTTTCACCAAGAGGCTCAAGTTTTGGAAGTCTAGTGACTCTGGGGGTTCCCCAGCCAACTAAAGGAAAAGAAAAACATTTAGAAGCTCTGTTAAATGAGTATTTGTTAAGGTCTTTTCAGAGGATCCCTCCCTTGACAGGAAATGTACTTAACACTCTATGACACAATTCTCAACAGACACATTTTCAATTAGCTTCTTTTCACTGTGTTACTATAGGATGCTAACATCTGCTTCAGCATAATATTCCATTCCATTATATTATATTATACTATGTATTGTTATACTTAGTTCTTAACACACATTTAACTAAAAGTTCACACCTCTTATCACCATCACAAATAAACTATTGGCAACCATTATAATACCTAGCAGAGGCTAAGAGAACTGTTTTGTTAAAAATAATACAAGAAATGAATCTTGTAAAAATTCATAATAAAAAATATTACCATATAAAGCTCTGGCACAAAGGCTACAAGGGAATTATTAATGCATGCATTTATTTAGTTCACACATACATACCAACAACTGTAAGAGGTAGGACACTATGCTCAGTGTTGAAGGCGACTTACAGTTTTTGTGTATTGGGTCCCACAGTTTATACATGCATTAACTCCTGCAATGTCTTAGGAATATATGAGAAAAATCACATATTTACATAACTTTTAGGGATAAAACGATTAAAGATCCAGATTTGAAATCCCGATCTAGTCGCCAATCCACTAAACTTCAATTTCCTTCAGCAATGTGTGGTACAGATATTTTGAATATAATCAGATCACATTCAAGGGATTATTGTGTAAATTTACATTAATACATTTTACCATTTCCTTCTTAAAACAACAAATGCTGCATAACACAGACAATAAAGTGTTCTTTCTCACACACTGACAAAATAATGAAAATACTAACTACCAACTACCTAATTTCTTCTTCCTTTTTTTTTCCCTCCAGTACTTAAATCAGTGCTTCTACACCCAGTGTCAGAATCAATTTACTCACCAGGAGGGGGAGGTGGGGGTGGGGTGGGACTCTTCGGAGCAGATTCATCTGTATTGACTGGTTCTACCCGATGACTCCTTTTCATTCGTAGTTTCTTAGTTTTCTTTTTACTATTATCTATAAGAATATAAACACAGAACTTTAACAACTAAGTATGAACTTATATACACTGAGAATACATTTTAGATGGCTGACAGGATAAGTATATGACTAATGAATAAAACACAAACAACCAATTTCTAAGAGAGGTCTTCATTTCCAAAATTATGGAAATGTTTTATGGAAAATCCACAAGGCTGGGAACACTCCTCAAGAGAGATAATGTAGAATAACTGAGTCTAAGGACAAGTATTCCAAAAATAACCATTTAAAAGATGACCTAGAGTCCAATCAAACCTAAACATATTACTCAGTAAAATAATCCCTAAACCAGGCATGTCCGGTATAAATATATGTAACCAACATCACATTGGTAGACCTGGCAGAATCTACTATTCCTAAAAAGGCAAACAGAAACCATACAGGCTCTCAAAGAAACACACATGAACACTCTAAGGCTTTCTATATTATCAATTTTAATAACATAAGACCAAAATTGAACAGTATATTCAACACATTTAGAAAAAGTTATAAAAGTATTTCAACTAAAAATTCTGGACTTCTAAAATTTATTTCATCTATTTGAATGTACATGTAACACATCAGATATATAACAATACATTTTCTAAAATGAAAGTTATCGGTAACATAAGCCATAACTAACATGCAAATATATCTAGAAAACAGTGATTTTTTTAAGTGAGCAAATGTAACCTGAATCATTTCACCTCGTGGAGAATCAAAACAGATATAAAAAGTATTATATTACAGAACCATTTTGGTGACCATGATGAAAATGAAACCGAGTATAAATTTCCTTTCCATATGGCAAGCATGGGAGGCTGAGAGTTAGCACCTGACTCTGATGAGCGCTGGTCCAGCTCGTCTTCATTGTCCAGCTGCTGGGACAGGGCCTCCTTGTAACTCTCTACCACTCCACCGTCGTCGTTTTGGGGGCAGCCACTAGGCTGGCTCTGTGACTCTACTTGCCCCTGTTCCACTCGATGTTCGGGGAGGCAAACATCACTCTCTTTCTCCACAGTCTGCTTCTTTTTCTCTCTCTCTTGCTTTTTTTCATTCTAACAAAAATGAAATACATTTATCTTTATCACAACGGTGGCATTTAAGATCATTTCAAGGAAGAAAGCAAGTAAGCACTTTTGGTGAATCAATGTCACTGTGAGATGCACAATGAACTGTGAATGTATCATTAAAACATACTAACTGCTAAATGCTCCCTACAGACAGAGGTCTAAAGATAAATAAATGTTTCCAGTAGTTTCATAATCTGGAGATGACCACTATTCCATCTATAATCATGGCATACTCATATAGACACACACCACCAACAAACATACATAAATGTGGTTCTCTCTGTACACACATACCATTTACTTGCTGATGAAACAAAAATGAACTGAAAGTTTTATTTTAAATTGTTTCCTTCCATGTTAATGAATACATGAATACTTAAAATAGTACCTCAAATGCAGTAAATATTATGTGTTAGCTTCTATTATTTTTATCAACTGAATTAACATTTCTGTTTATGTTTATAGTATGTATGCATGCATGTATATACACTTGTTAGTGTGAGTGTAAGTAGGATGTGACTTGAGATACGATCTCTATGTAAATCTGAAGGTAAATTTGGCTAGATAGGATGGCTAATGAGCTACAGAGCTCCCTGTCTGTTTTTCCTGTTGTTCAAATCTTAGATGGTCTTATAATAAAAAACCTGGAGCCAGGTATTGGGGTGAACATAAAAGATCAGAGAAGGAGAGCAAGCCACAGCCAACCTAACCTCGCCAACTCCTCAGCAAATCCAGTTTCCTCAGACTGAAAGCCTGTGTCCTCACCAGAAAGGATCTCAGCTGAACTGCTTTAGTTCCTGTTTCCTCATGCCTTGTATATCTTTCTCCACCAAGCCATGTCACTTCCTGGGATTAAAGGCATGTGTGCTTCCCAGTACTGGGATTAAAGGCGTGTACCACCACTGCCTGGCTCTGTTTCCAGCATGGCCTTGAACTCACAGAGATCCAGAGGGATCTCTGCCTCCCAAGTGATAGAATTAAGGGTGTGTGCTGCTGTGGATATTGCTCTATATAAATAAAACACTGATGGCCAGTGACCAGACAGGAAGTATAGGCGGGACAAGGAGAGAGGAGAATTGGGGAAACAGGAAGAAGGGGGGGAGAGACACTGCAGCCACCGCCAGGACAAGCAGCATGTAAAGACGCCCGTAAGCCACCAGCCACGTGGCAAGGTATAGATTTATAAAAATGGGTTAATTTAAGATAAAAGAACAGTTAGCAAGAAGCCTGCCACGGCCATACAGTTTATAAGTAATATAAGCATCTGAGTGATTATTTTATACGTGGATTGTGGGACTGTGGGGCTTGGTGGAACCTGGAGAGAAGCCCTCCAGCAACAGTGTGCTACCATTATCTGGCCTCTAAGTCTAATCTAGTGGCTGGTTCTGTCCTCTGATCCTCAAGGTAAACTTTATTAGGATACACAATATATCACCACAGTCTCCCAGTACTTGCATTACAGGTGCGTTCATCCATGCCCACCTTTTTACATGGCTCTATACGTTGGGGAACACAAGGGTCCTTGCTCCCACAAATCTCTAGGAAAACTAGGAATGTTAAACATATAGGGACCTCATCTCAGTGGAGTAGTGTAAGATAAAATACCTGTTTCCCACCCAGAGGCTGGGAGTGGATATTGTTAATGACCTGGTGACCTTTCTGCTACCTGTGGAGGCAGATGTCACCCACCTTTTGCTATAGAGGCACACCTCATCCAAATTCCCTAGAAGGATTATCCCGGACTCTTGCCTCCCTTGACCATTACCCATCCTTAGGGGAGATGTCACATGTACTTGATATCCTGCCCACTTCTATGCTACCTTGGTCGGAGACCACACTAGATTCTAGGCCTTTTAGCTATAGAACCCCCACCCCGAAGGTCACATGTGCTTTTGAAAAGGAGTTTCTATGTAGTCACACCTTAAGCTTTATTGTGCACCTGGGATTGGACTGACTGACTGTTGCTTGGAAACCTTTTCCCAAACTGTGCTGTATTTTAAATATGCTGACAATGAACCGCCTGACATTAGACTCCCCAACAAAGTCTGATCCAAGTTGATGAAGTCATCTGCACCGGGTTTTCATTCTCATCTCTTTGAGCAGTTCACTTTCCTGTCCGACACCTTCAGGGAACCACTCAGGGAACCACTCATCTGGGGTTCTAAATCCAGGTCCTCATGCTTGTGGATAAGGTAATTAGCTCTCTCCCTAATTCCCCAATTACAGTAATATTTTTAGATGGCTGTATCATTGTAGCGGGAGAGAAGTCCTGAGTGAATGCCTACTGTTGACTTGGGCATAGCCATGTTGGGACTGCAATATCTCAGACTATGGGAATGGCAAAGAACCACCCCACACCACTCCACCCCCATCCCCAGGGAAAGGTTCAAAGGGATGGCAAAGGCTCCTAGAAGTCCAAATGCAAATGTAGACAGTGTGTGCAGAAAGTGTTCCTGGTAGGTTTATGACTTGAAGCCTGCTCCCCTACAGGGACACTTCGTATTGAAAGCAGCTAACCCTGCCTCCTTGTTCAGAAGTATGGAACAATGCTGCCCCCTTGTTCCACTCTATACAACAACCTTGCCTCCCTGTTCAGCTGTATATACTAAACACACTGAGCTTCCAATGTGCTGTGCTTCTCCCCTTTTCTGTGTGTGTCTCTTTTCTTCATTCCTTCACCACCCTGAATATGACAATCCCTGAGGTCATGCAGAATTCGGCAGTATCAGAACTTACTGTATACACTCCAACAGATGAAGTTATATGTAATTTTTCACTATTATACAAAGGAAGTTGCCTTAGTGTTTTAAATTACATTCCTCTCAGTGGGGCAATGACCAGTTGGTCAGTACATTTTAAAATATGTCATAACAGCAAAGCTTACCTTCAGAAAAACTGAATCAATTATATATGCCAGGGTTGGGAGAGTGACATTTGTTTCTAAATGATTTGGAGAAGGGAGGATACTGGGGATTGAACCCAGGGCCTTGTGTCTACTAGGCAACTGCTGTACCATTGGGCTACATCCTTAGCTTCTTTCCAAGTCATTGCCAAGTCTGTAGCTCTGCTAAACTAGCAAATGTTAACTTGCCACTGTTTTAATTTGATTTGAGTTTGACATGACTATAATTTGTTACTACTGGAAAAGATTAGGAAACACCTTTATGGTCATGCCCTCTCCCAGCTTTGGGGTCAGGTCCTGCTTTTGGTAATCCAATGTCCAGGTTTTTATTATTCTTACAGTAATTTCCAGCATTAGTCCATAGTTATAAGACTGTGTGTCTGGTGTGTCTCTTAGCAACAAGGTTATTTTATTTATTTATTTATATTTTGTTTTCATTGGTATTTTAATTCTGTATAGCAATTTTTCTAAATTCAAATGTAATAAAATCAATTTTTTCTTTATGGTTTGTAGCTAGAGTGTTTTGCATTTTAAAGTCTTTATGTCAACATATAATATACATGAGTATAATATAATTTAAAATATAGATATTAAATTATATTTTTCATTATCATGAGAAAGTAATATCAATCCTGGCACAAAAAATAAGATTAAATGTTAGTACTACAAAAATATGGCAAAACAGGTTTTATCAAAAAGAGTAACTATGAAATATTCAGCTTTTACTTTTATTCCTAAATATTTTGAAGTCATGTTTCCCATTTTACACTGTATTAACATGTTATTTTTTAAAAGAGATTGTGTTAGACAAGCATTTGCTCTATCACTGTGCAATTTCCCCAGGCTACAAAGGAAACTATGAGTGGGAAAAAAATTGGTTAACTTCCACCTAGTCCCACACCTTTACCTTTGTTGGAAATCCTCTCTTGAGGAATTCTCTACTGCCCTGCCTAGTGTCCCAACACCTAAACACCATTACCGAATTCTACCTCTATTGTTTAACGTATCAAAACACATATTGCCACAATCCATACCTCAATGATTACAGCTGCTATGGGCTGGAAAGGATTAGCCAGAACTGGTCCTGAGTCCATCTCAGCCAGACCACTGGTCCCATCGAGTTCAGTTTGCTCTCGTTCTCTGTTTGTGGGAGGAAAAATAAAAATTCATTTTGAAAGGGGGCTGAATCATTTTACCTACGAAAACATGCTGATAATAGGACACTATGCTTCTATAAAATTCAATCATTTGAATTTTAAAAGAAATCTAAGAAGAGGAAAAACCCTGGCAGAATGGAGTGGCCTCCCTCCCAGTGTCTGAGTAAGAAGAGTCAACGTGACAAATGAAACCAGATATTCCAGGACAGAGAGCCTGGAGGAAATCTGGGAAGCAACAGGAAGTGAAGACAAATCAAAACCACGAGAAGTGGGAAGGCCTCAGACAAGCACAAAGCAGTCCTGGAAGTCAACCTCAGTTCGCCTCTTGTGGAAGGAGAATACCATGATGCAAGCTGCAATCCTAAGGTAAGTGTGAAGGTCCCAGCAACACATGCAATAGCAGCAGACCGGAAGTCCTAACTACTGGAGAAACCCAAGCTTCTGAAGCTGTGAGTCCAGAACAAGTCTGCTCTCATATCTACTTGTACCTAATAAATACCTAAAAACCCACTACTACCAGGGAAATCATGCCTATTGCTCAGCTCACCAAACACTCCAATAGCTCCAACTAGGAGCCATTTTTGAGAAAGGTCCTAGTGCTGGGAACTAAACTGCTCTAGGGGTCAAAAACCAAAACAAAACAGAGAATGATCACAACTCAGGGTCCTAAAAACCCTATGTAAGAGTGACAAGGTGGGATACCACCAAACAATACAGTTGTTGATAGGATATCAATGAAAAATAACTGTGAGGTTCAAGTGGAGAGGGTTAAGTGTGGTACAGAGGGGAGAGGGGTCCCATTCTGTGAGGAAGAGTGAAACCATAGACCCAGGCTGCCAATTCTGATTTACAGAATTCACTGTTTCGACTGTTTCCTTCATTGTCAAGGAACATTCCACAAACACACCACAGCTTGGGTATTTGCCATGCTCTACAGGCTGGCAGGCTGAGGGCCTTTGAAAGTAGCATGCACTGCCTGGCCATTCCACACTCTTCTGAGGCCCCATATGCAATACGGGCTCTTGGCACACAGACTTTTGCCACACCTCTGATATACATATAAAAAACCTTCAGAGTCACCACTAATTAACCTGTGTGGCAGGAAACAGACAGGGAGCAGCCTGGATACTGACCTAAATTGTGAGGGCGGAAGCAGAGGAAAGACAAGTGGTTTCAGCTACAACTCACTGGCCTTTCACACCTGGTGCACTGGAGTATTAGAAGACCCACAGGGAGTCACTTCCAATCCAAGAACTTGGGCAAAAAGGGCAAGGCTGCTTGTTATTCTCCTAACGTATTAACTTACTTTCTTACCTTTTAATTGGGTCTTTTTTCTTTTTCTCTTCTACTATGTTTTCCTTTCCCCCCCTTTTTTAAGCCTTTAATCCTTTTTCTTGAGACAGGGTTTCTCTGTAGCTTTGGAGCCTGTACTGGAACTCGATCTGTAGACCAGGCTGGCCTCGAACTCACAGATCTTTAATCCTTTTTAATGTTTATTAATTTTTAAATTTTTAGTTTACTGTGTGCTACTTTTACCTTTCTCTTCTGGTGCTCTTAGCATTAGGGTAGATGCGCCTTTAACTGGTTAATATATATATATATTTCCACGAAAACAGATTTGTAATTTCAACACAGAAATATAATTGTGAAAAATAAGGCCAAGAGACTCATGTAAAAGTTTGGACTCACATTGCAAATGGCAGGCCATGGCTATAAGTACTTGGAGGCAGCACAGAGAGATCGCTGGGTTCAAGAACCATTCTTCCCATCAGCACATGCCAGAGTACAAAATAAAGTCCACCACAGAACATTTAATAACTGTCACAGTGATGAGCATTGCATTCCCAAATTCTACTTACACATGGACTAAAGAACCACTTTTTTATTACAACAAGCATCAATGGGTTTTGCTGTGACATTTCCAAACACATGTGTAATGTGCTTTGTCATATCCATCCTTCTTGCTCACCTCTTTTGTCTCTGTCACTCACTCATCTCAGTAGTCCCTCTTTACCTTTCAGATGCATCACCTTTTCTTTATTAGTTAAGTCCCACATATGAAAGGAAATACACAGTCCTTAACTCACTATAGTTGGCTTATTTCTCTTAACATGATGACCATCAATTCATTTTGCAAAAGTGACATAACTTCTTTCGTTTATGGCTGAACAAATGTTCTGCCATGTGTATGCATAGGAAAAGATAACAATGGAATAAAACTAGAAATTAACAGCAAGAAAAACTAAAGAAGCTATACAAACATGGAGACTGAAAATGGACTTTTTGAATAATCAGTAGATCACAAAAGAAATCAGGAGAAAATTTAACATTTCTAGGATCAAATAAACTGAAAGCAAAATAACATAACAGTACCTGTGGGGTATGGGAAAATAATACGAAGGAAGTTCACGGTTATGAATTTCTACTTTTTTAAATGGGGTGAAATTCCTAAACAATGGATTGATGCACCGCAAGGTCCCAGGAAAACAAGAATAACAACAAGTCAGCAGAAGAGAGAATCACACCAATAAAAATCACACCGAAGAAAGAAGCTGCAAAAGATAATCCAAGGTAGAAGGAGCTTCCATATTCAAAGATTAGCAGAATACCATGAAAACGTACATACTATTGAGAGCAGTCTACTGAGTCAACATAATCCCCATCAACATACTCAAACACAGAACTGGGAAAAACCTCAAATTGACACAGAAGCATAAAGAACAAGAATAGCCAAAGTAATCAAGGTCAAGAAGAATAATGCTAGGTCTATCATAATAATAAATAAATAATAAACTACAGTGACCTAGGAAAACCAACAAATAGCACAGCACTGTTAACAAACATGTGAACCAATGGATAGTATAGAGCGCTCAAAATGAGTCCAGCATCTACAGGGATCTGACTGTGATTAGCTACCTATCTTGCAATCTGTTAAAAAAAAAAATCAATTCAAAAGAATTAGAAACCTTAGAGGGAAAATTGAAACTACTTTAGGCGATCATAGGAGAGTCCTTCAAGATCTTAGATAAGCAATTTCCTGAACAGGACCCTAGTGCTTTGGAGAATGAAAGCAAGAATTTGCAAAAAAGATACTATGAAATTTGAAAAGCTCTGCACAGGAAAGAAAACCAGAAACAAAATGAATGGGAAAAGTGCAGAATGGGAGAAAACCAGTGCCCCTGTCAGCTATGCATATGACAAGGGACAGGTATCCAAAACAAACGACAAAAACTTTACCAACAAAATAAGTAATCTACTCAACAAAGAAACACAGGCAAACTCTCAGAACAGCCACTTCCCAAAAGAAGTGCAAATACACAAAGAAAGTGTTGAAGTTTTTAGTCATCATAGAAGTATAAACCAAGACTATCAAAACCACATTGAAACTCAATCTCACTACAGTTGGAATGGTTACCATCATAAAACAAACGAAACGTTGGCTGGCAAGGATGTGAGAGAAAAAGGAACAGTCCTTGCGGGTAGGAATACAAAATTGTATAACTACAATGAAAACCAATATGGGAGATGCTAAAAAAAAAAAAAAAAAAAAACTAAAAATAGAAATACTGTATGATCCAGTTATAGCACTTCTGGGTGTACACCTACAGAAAATGAAGCAAACAAAACATATACGTGCAGACCCACATTCACTGCAATATTGTTCACATTCACCAGAATCAGCCTAGAGCTCATCACCATATATATAATATATGTGTATGTATATAATAAATGGATACTATATATTGTATATAATAGACCTATTATTTATACTGTTTTATACAAATGCAGATATACAATAAAGTATTATTCATCCATAGAAGAAAGAAATTTAGCCTTGTGAAGGAAAAGGAATACAACTAAAGTTATCAAGTGAAGCAAAAGAGCCAAAGAAGTTAAAGACTGCATATTTTCTCTAATACATTAAAGAAATAAAGGGGGGAAAGCTATCGCTCTGAAAGTCAAAGAGGGATTATTGGGGAACAGGAAGGAGATGAGGGAACAGGAGCAGAAGAGGTTAGTGGGAAAGGTGGTTATGATCAAAGTCCATCAAAACCCATTAATATGTTCTAATAATTAAACCAGAAAGAAATGGTTCTCCAATCAGCCTGTATGTAGAATATAGTTCATTGCTATGTCAATTAACTATGTTCCATGATGAAAATATCTACCTTTTCATTCTGAACCTAGAAAGCCAAGCTATGGAGATTGTTCGCTTTACTACCTCTTATGACCTTTGACCTAGAATTCTGAGCCTCCCCTTTCCTACAGATGGGATTACAATATTCATCTCAGAAGGCTATTTCAGCACCAGAGAAGGTGTTCATCTGAGAATAGTCTATAAACGAACACACATATAGAAAAGCATTTGTGGTTACCCATTCATTAGAAACAATTTCAAGTTTAAAATGATAGCACACCATTTTCATAACAAAATAGTATATCCTACTCTTTAATAGAAATGACTATGCAAACCAGTTACATTGGATTTAACATGGCAAATTACTGATTTTCAGTCACTCCTCTCATACTTCTTTAAGTCCTATCTCTGAATTATGTGAAAGGTACCACTGGAAGGCTTCCTTCACAATAGAAAAGATGCCTCACAAAGTCCCCAGAGTAGGGGACAACTTGGAGGCAGCCTGTAAAACTATATTGAACCAAGCTCGTAGGAACTCACGAACTTTAGACCAACAGCTATGGAGCATACATGGGACTGGACTAGGCCCTCTGCATAGGTGAGACAGTTGTGTAGCTTGGTCTGCTTAAGGGGCCCCTGGCAGTGGGATCAGGATCCACCCCTGGTGCATGAACTGGCTTTTTGAAGCCCATTACCTATGGTGGGACACCTTGCACAACCTTGATACAGCGGGGAGCAGCTTGGACCTGCCTAAACTGAATGTACCAGGCTCTGCTGACTCCCCATGGGAGGCCTTACCTTTGTGGAGAAGGAGATGGGGATGGGTTGTGGGGGAAGGCTGAGAAAAGTGAGAGAAGGGATGAGAGGGTGATCTGTGGTTGGTCTATAAAATGAATAAAAAAATTCTTAAAAAATAATTAAAACAAACAAACAAAAACTTTCAAGCTAGGGCCTGGAGAGATGGCCTGGTGGATCGGAACCTGAGCACAGCCCTTCCTGAAGACCCAAGTTCAGTTCTCAACACCCATGATGGGTGCCTTACAACTGCCTGTAACTCCAGCTCTAGAGGATTCCATGCTCCTGTCCTTCCTGGGCACTTGTACCCCTGTACATATAGACAGACAGACAGACAGACAGACACACACACACACACACACACACACACACACACACGCACACACGCACACACGCACACACGCACACATGCACACACGCACGCAATTAAATAAAATAAATCCTAAAAAATAACACACCTCAAGACAGTACTTTTTTTTTTCTTAATGCAACAGCCCTAGCTGTCCTGCAACTAGCTCTGTAGACCAGCAGGCTGGCCTCAAGAGACTCACCTACCTCTGCCTCCTAGTGCTAGGATCAAAAGTGTGTGCCACTTTTGATCCTAGCCTGGTGACAGTGCAAGTTTTTGATAAAATTAGTGTTCCAGATGAGGTCTGAGTTAAGGGATCCCCTAACATCTTAGCTCTATGTCAAGGGTACACACAAGCTTCTCATCCTATTGCATTTTGACACACTGAATCTAACACTTCTTTTCTGAGGCTCCCTGTGCATTAAAGGGTGGTTGACACTATCCCTGGCATCTATCTATGCCATCCCACCCACACCAGTAAAAATGTCTCCAGATACTTCCACCTGGTCCTGAAGCAAAATCTCCCAGGCCTTTGAGAAGAATTGCTCTGAAATCCTCACCACTAATTGATACAAATTTAAAACTTTGGGAAACACTGACTAATTATGAAGTATACTTAATGACTATCACAGGCCCAGGAAAGTTTTATAAGTCCGTCACTCGGCTCCATGGTAGAATACTTGCTTACCATGCACAAAGCCCTGGGTTGGGTCCCTAGCACCACAAAACCGAAGTACCATCTACACTTGTGCATACAAAGGTTCCCAGGCATCTTTCTTCATACAGAAAGAGAGAAAACTGAATAGGCAGACTGAACAAACAAAACTAACAGATGAAAACTGCCCTTTCTAATCTTCAGAAGAGCTGTGTGCTAAATTGATCTACTTACCTTTCTTCCCGTAATTTTCGAACTCGCTCAGCCCTCTCTCGTTTCTCTTGTTCCTCCAGAGCTCGCTGCTCAGTTGTATCTTTTTGGATGCGTTCACTTAAGGCATCAAAGTCTTTTGCAATGATATGCAGGAGCCAATAAAGCCCCTTTTTAATGGACTTGTCAATTTTCTTTCCATATCCCAAGACTGCCGAACAAGGTTCCTAAAAACAAATCATTTGACTCAAAGATTAAAACTAAAAGTTCTCTACACAAACATATTCATAAACCATTAAGTAAAATTATAGGCAAAGCAAAATTTAGCCTTTTAAGTTAATAACTTCCAAAAAACAATTCTGTAATAACTAAATTTAGTTTAGTACTAGTAGAAGTTGAGAACAATTATAGATGTTATCTATGTTACATTATGAATAAGATGAGAGGACCAGATACAATTTTATACAAATTTACTGGAAGACAAACTGAACTCCCCTGAGGAAAGCACTGCTATTTATTAAGAGCACCTGTAGCGAAGAGACTCAGGAGACACACCTTTAGTCCCAGCACTCGGGAGGCAGAGGCAGGCAGATAGATTTCTGAGAGTTTGAAGACAGCCAGGGTGACATAGACAGACTCTGCCTCAAAAAAAAAGGGGGGGGGGCGGCGGAAATATTGGAAATTATAAATTCTGATGCTGAGCTAGGCCTGGTGGCACACACACCTCTAATCCGAGCCCTCCGAAGGCAGAGGCAGGTGAATCTCAGTGAGTTTGAGGCCAGCCTGGTCTACAACGTGAGTTCCAGGTCAGGCTCCAAAAGCTACACAGAGAAACCCTATCTAGAAAAACAAAAACAAAAACAAAAAATCTTAGAAGCAATGTAAGAAAGTTTCTGGGAGTTGGTGAAAAAAAAAAATAGAAGAGATATTACAGTATTAACTACTATTAACTGAACAATGACAGAATTGTTACGGCATGAAAATTATTTTAGTACTGTTTTCATTATCTTTTTACATTTATTTATTAATCTGGGGGTGTGCAGCAAACTCCACAGCACAAGAGGTCAGGAGACAGATAAAATGTTTCCGTACCCCGATATTAAGCCTCTCTGCCGAGGCAGGAAATCAGATCACCGCAAATTATTAAGTCCAGGTTTAATCTGAGCAGAGCATTCCTGGGCAGTCCCAGGGAAGGGGAGAAGCCAGGATGGAAACCACTAGAGAAGTCTGTGGGCCGGACCTTACATACTCTCCAGGGTGGAGCTGCTGCTTGGCGGCTTTCTTTGGGCTGGGTCTGGAGAGGTCGGCTCCGGAAGATGCCCAACAACTACCTGCAGGAATCAGTTCTCCCTCCCACCACCACGGGGTCCCAGGGAGTGGACTCAGGGGGTTAAGCCAGGATGCCTTTTTCTAGCTAAGCTATGGTACGGGGCGGCCCCAAAAGACTGTTTTCTAGTTGACTATTACTTTATGTAAACTAAGTTTTCTGAACAAAATGTAAAAGTAATAACGATGATGATGATGATGATGATGATAATAATAAACTTACTATCTGGCACAAGCACTTGTGCTCATTGACCAGCTTTTCCAGGGAGAGACATTCAATCACATCGGCTTCTCCTAAGGCCCCCTCCTTGTCCTGTTTATTTGCCAGCCTAGGAAGACAAATGAACTGTTTGTACAGCAAATGTCATTTTCACGGTCTCTGTTCCCACGATTTAAATCTACTGAATTTAGAATAAGCTGGTTCAGGGAATACAGTAGCACAGATTTCGTAACTTTTCATAGTTAGTGCTCTAAAATCCAGTGTGAAGGAACTGGCTACTACTACTAAAAAAAAAAAAAAAAAAAAAAAAAAAGCAAAAGCAGCCAACGAGAAAGTTCAAGGAAGCACTAGACCGATAATTAAAAACCACCAACAGAAGAAGAAGCAGGCTGCTTCCCACAGGCCACAGCCAAAAGTCCAGACCTTTTCTTCTTAAGAACAATGCCGGTGGGAATGTGAACTCCATTCCACTTCACACTGGAGTGACTAGACACGCAACTATGGAAACCAACATGGAGGCTGCTCCTATCCACCCCTCACTCCACACACAATCATTTTCACTGTTTCTTAGTGCAGCTTCACATTGTCTCCTTTTGAAAATATAAACACGCTTTTGGGTGGTATTTCAAAATTTATACAACTGGGTACTGTGGAGAACATGTTTCTTTTGTATCATGATTTTTTTCCTTCCAAACACAGAATTCAATCCTGAAATGATCTGGATGCAGAAGAAAGCAATCTGTTCTTTGCTCTAAGCTGCAAGATAACATATCATATACATGATCCAGTGTCCATCACCAATCCTGCACGGAAGGATTTCTTGTCTTCACGCAGAGTATCGTGAAGGAGTTGATTTCTTTGGTAGGGGAGGGGGAGAGAGTAGATTTCAGGAAGTGGGAATTCAAAGACAATCTAAACTGTACTTCGAATGCAGCCATGTTCAGCCCATATCTCCAGTGGGCGTGGGAACACCAAAAGACTAAAGGTTTGGAAATCTGATACTATGCAAGGATTTTCATTCCTACGTTTCCCTGTAAGTATTTCTTGCTGGTAGAAATTCACTTTGAATTTCTATATTGACATAATAAACAGTAGTACTGGGTAACGTTATTCTACATTGAAAATTATAGAAACTTCCTCCAGAGTAAAAGTAACAGTATGGGAAGAAAGGTGAAGTGGAAAGTTCAAAGACACAAGTCCTCTCTGGCTAGTGTTCTTCTATTTCTCTATTTTGTGAGTTAAGCCCTGTGGGATTTCCAGGTAGAAGAGGATTCAATCATAAATGGAATCTAAAACACTGCACACTAGGCTTCATTCCATTCCTATTCATGGGTACTTTTAGGTTTTGAAATCTACAAAGAAACCTTTGTTTATCTACAACAGCATTTTTCGGAAGGAAGGCATTCCACAGGTAGTGCAGACTAGGTCCAGAGAATGTACTCAAACTCTGTGCAGACAGTTTAACAAGGACTTCCAGCTACCAAGGAGCTCCGGAGAACAGGCTTTTCCTTTAATCTAAGGAACAGGTGAGGAACAGGCAGAACCTGCTTCTCCAGGTGTGAAGTAAGCAATCCGCGCTTCTCATTTGATAGCAACAGCAAATGTACAACTTTATCTCCAACTTATTTGACTTCATTGTTTGGCTTTCAATTAACTGTATGAGAACCATAAAGCCAGCCTGTGGCTTAGAAGTGATTTAAGCGTTTGATCGAGCATTACACTCCATGGCACTCGGATTTTTTCCCAGACTAAGCACTCTAACACCACGGGTGAGAAAACAAGAACAAGACAGTAAGGTAAGCGAATTAGTGTGTGTGTGTGTGTGTGTGTGTGTGTGTGTGTGTGCTATTTAAAGTGAAATAGCCAGACACTGAAGAATGGCTCAGCAGGTCCTCCAGTGACTTTTCTGTTTAGATTTGCACAGAGCTGCAAGCAGCTGACCTGTCCTGGCTATGAGGATCAACCAGAGGACTGAGGTGGAGTTACCAACCTTAGATGAAACCATTACTTTAATTCTAATAAAACGACTTCTCATTTTAGAAACATTAGAAAAGCAGATCCTGTGAAAACAAATCTGAAATTCTTTCTTTATAGACATTAAATTAATAATGCTATGTTTATTTTAGACAGGATTTTCATAATACTGAACAGAACTTTATGCCCAAATTTGAAAGAAAAATATTAATTTCGTCATTCTTATTTCCCAGGATCTGCTAAAACTAATTTGCAGAAATTTTAAAATGGTTTTGTTGGAAAAGGACTACTATAAAATATCAAAGCACTCAAGCATTTTAATGTTGTAGATAGTATGTTGAAAATACTCAAAAATTTATCATAGTTTTTTCAAGCTATTAGATCAACTTAATAGTTAAATCGGCACCATTTAAATTTAACATATTTCCTGAGTTATAATTGTTCCTATATCTGAATTTAATAAATACTCATTTCAAATCAACATAATGACTTTTATAAGTATTTTTAAAGGTGATACGAAGTTGGCCATGTAACATGCAATGCAATCTCTCTTCAAGGCTACCCACTTTGAAATTTAGTATGAAAACTACTTCATATCTATTCAACTTATCTGAATCAGATAAGCAAAAGTAAAAACAACAACCCTTAATAAAGTTATGATATTACTAATTAGTTCAACAAGACAACTAACACTTCTACATCAACTCCAAAGAAAGAATACTGAAAGAATACATTACTGAAAATGTCAGCTAATTCAAGCTTAGAAAATATATATAGTAAGATCCCCAGTTTTAACCTTGAGCTAGAAAATGCTGAAGGTTGCCTTCATATACAAGAAAATGTATTTCTCGAATATTTATTAATCAACATAGTAACTACAGAGAGTTTACTTTAAAAAATCCACAAGCATATTAAACATGTATCCCAACTTAATTTTATTATTATTTTTCGTTAATTTTTTGTTTTGTTTTGTTTTCAAGATAGGGTTTCATTGTATAGCCCTAGCTGTCTTGGAACTCTGTAGACCAGGTTGGCTTTGAAATCACAGAGATACACCTGCTTCTGCCCACCAGTATTAAGATTAAAGGTGTTCACCACCACTGTCCTATGGTATATTTCTAACACTGTCTCACTGTATATTTCTAAAAGTAATGCACATTCACATTTGTATCTAGGAATTGAATTCTCTGTAACAGGGTGGAGAAAGTTTTCTTTGAGTCACTCCTCTTTACTTTCCTCTTTCCCACAAGAAATTATTACAAGTTATTACCACATGTATCAACTACCATCATATTTTTCTTTTCTATAATACCATGTTTAAACTCAGAGATATAGGCAACATTATGAGTGAAACTCAAACCACATAGCAAATTCAAAAACGCAGAGTAGAAAATTAAACATACTGATGATCTTATCTTCTACAGACATAATACTACTGCACGAAGAAACTGCATGGAATAATGATCTCATGAATTTCATCTAGCCTAAACAATTAAATTTCTTATGAGTTTCATATTTTATGATTACATGAACTGTATCCAAAATTTAAATTATAATATGCTTAGTTCTAATTTATGAAAGTAAAATTAAACTGAAAACAGTGTACATATAGTTATGAACACCAACTGCTAAAAAATACATACACACAGCATTTAAGTGGACCTGAGTCCTTTTAAGTGAGTTTCTACACAGTCATACAAAAATTGGAAGAAAATTATGAATATGATAACACTATTGTAAAGGTCATCACTTATGTCTTCATCAAGGTAGACAGCTGCTTTACAAATGGTTCCCTTTAGTTTGGAATATGGAGGGATGTCTTATATAAACTTAACTTTAAAAATATCAATTTGAAACTATATTTTTTTAAAATAGCAAAATCTAGCAGGTTCTAGAAATGAAGAGGGAACATAACCACAGTTATGAGCGGAAGTTAAACACAACTACGCTGGACTACTAGAAGAAAAGAGTCTGTCTTAGAGGCTGGGACTTAGGAAATAAATATTACAGGAAATAAAACTGAATTTCCTAGATGAACTAGGGAAAATAGAACATAGTCTGTGTAGACACAGAAAAACCTATTTTAACTTATCCAGAATTACATTAGGAATAACAAAAATCTCAGAAAACTGAGATAACTATCTGTCTGTCTGACTACCTACCTATCTATATACATATACAAACACATTTGTTTCTGTATCTTTTCTGTGATACTGTAAATACAACTCAGAATATCATGCATTACTGAGCCAGCTTTCTAGCACTGAGAGAAGTTGCCAGACTCCGCGTCTGCATTTCCACTCCCTGACGACAATGGACAAATCTATGGCTCTAGTGGAAACAACCAAACAATCTCAGATTGAATCCATAACTTAGAAAAGCATCAGGGGAATTCCTGCATAATATAATACCTCAAGGGACACAAAAAAACACTTGTCCACCTTCAAGAGAGGAGCTAGAAGTTAATGGCCACCGGAAAGAAAAGAATTTACTACCAAGAAAGATAGCATAATAATATAAAGAAACTTTAACATAAATATGTTAGATATTCCAAAGAAATAAACTGGCAATATCTTATTCATCAGAAATGATGCATACAATATATACATTATAGCTAACTATATAAATTACACATCATCTAATTTATATGCATGCCCTGGTATTCAGCAGCAAAAAGAAACCTAATTCAATGTTTGCATTTTCACATCAATAACAGCGATGTAAAGAAAGAAATGTTCTAATATTTACTTGTGTTTTCTGTGTACACTTGGCATATGAATAAGTGTACATGCGTGCATTTGCACACCCCTCTGCACCTATTAAAACTACACTTCAGGAAAAAGCTTGTCTATGGCCCCAATAATTGCTGCAACTTTTATAAAGATGAAAGAAAGGGTCATCCCATCCTAAACATGTGAGAGGAGGTGTTGTAATGCCTGTGAGAGACTCAGGGCTTGACTAGATATGGAGATGGCCACTGCCAGAAAAGTGGAAATGAGGTCTCCAAGTAACCAAGATGGAGACCAGAATGCTTGTGAACACACAGACATGAATGTGAACAATAACCATTCCAAACTTTAACTAAAGGCTTGAGAATAGTCACTGCACTGCCATATCTTGTTGGGCAAACAGAAT